TTCGTTCGGTTGGTTAGGTAGTTATTTAGTTTAGTTTAGTTAGCCAGATTTTCTAAAGATGCAAAAGTTCAGGTAAAGGTGAGAGAATAAACTTTATTGCACCGGGTTTTATCCCATATGGTACAGTCTCTCTCCGCAGAACAGCTGGCTGCCTGCCGAAGCCATCGCACAGAGCACGACCTCCATAGCTTCGGCGACGATCCCCATGGATCTCGGTAAAAATTGCACTGGTGAACTGAACGCCTCCTGGAAGCGAATCCAAGAACTTCAGAGTGTGACGCTAACAGCTTGACCACTTCACCACGGAACCCCGATTTGCAAATTTGATTCACGTATGGATGAACAGTAGTGGTTATTACAGACAATATTCTTTCTCTTTCACCGTCTGTCTATGTAGGTGATGAAAAACAGACTCTACAGACATACTGCTGTTTATCCCTGCCTCTGGTTGGTATATGCAGGTGCTAAATACCAGAGTAAACATACAATATCCACGTATCACTGTGTAGCACAGCTCTCTTCTTCGTTGCGTTTGTCGTTGTCACACCCAGGTTCGTCTTTAGGTTTTGCTACAGGAGGAGTCGATTGGAAGATTATAGACGAGGAGAAAGATGGTCGTGTCGATAGTGGCGATGATGAGGATGATGTCTTGCTATCTGCATGCTTCTCATGTGACTCTGATGCTTGTATACAAAACGCCTGGAAACAACTCTTCTTATCTGTACTGTCTTTATTGTGATACTTTAGCAATGACACAAATACATCAATAATATTCTGAGTGGCGCTGTGTTCTCTCTAAGGCTAAATACTCGTAGGTACGCGTTGTATTCTTACTCTTGAGGTCGCGTTGTGTTCTTTATTTGTAGTTACTTTGTTAACTGATTCTAGTGTCTGTAACTGCCACCTGGCTTCTAGTGCTGTTTGGTACTAACGGCTTGATTGTCGACTCTATAGTGTTCCTAATGTGTCTCTGTTAACCATGGATCCATGTATCCTGTGTGTCGTCTCTGTAGCTCGATGTCTCGTTTCATGTCTGCTCTCCAGTGACTGTCTTCGAGGTTCAGTATGAACGGCTGCTCTGCTTCCAGTGTTGAGCTGGCATCAAGGATCATTGAGACTAGTCGCTCGTCCTCTGAGTCTCAACGACTGAAGGCTTCTAGTGTTGAGCTTACATCTCTACCACTGAAGGCTGTCTTGGGAGCCCATGTGACTGGCCTCTCCTCTCTTGAGTCTTGTGGACTGAAGAATTTTTAAAGTGCTTTGTTGCTCGCTATTTATACTTGGATGCTGGAATGCTAGATATTTGTTTTCTTCTCGCTTTGTCTGCTTCTAGAATGTTCCAGTACACCTCAACTTGTTTACTAGGTAGGTTCTCACGTGGGATTTTCTAATTATATCTTGATTAGTTAGTTAGTTAGTCTTTCCTCTTGTGTCGAGTGCGGCACATAGGGCAGAGGTCATGACTCTCCATGCATGGCGGTTCGTTGCAATCCGTTGTAGGTCTTGGATGTTTGAGTGGCCCATGAGCGAGCCTTCCCTGATGATAGTTCTACGTAGGGTTTCCCTTGGTCTTCCACGAGATCTTTTCCCCTGTGGTGTCCAAATGAGGGCTTGGTAAGGAAGTCTGGATTTATCCATTCTAAGGGCGTGGCCGACATAGTTCCAGCGGCGTTTTCGTATAAAATTAGACATATACTCTTGCCTGGATTCTTGATTATTTGTGTATTTGTTCGGAAATCTGACCATTTGAAATTTAGTATTCTTCTAAGGCATTTATTTTCAAAACTGTCTAATTTTGTGTCTAGAGTTTTCGTTGATTTCCAGCTCTTGCATCCATAGGTTAGTACTGGAATCACACAAGAATTGAAGATCTTGAGTTTTGTGTGTTTGCTAAGTGTCTTTGATTTCCAGATGTTAGACAGTTTATTGAAGGCACTAGATGCCAGTGCTATTCTAAATGGTATTTCTGGTGCGGTATCTCCTGTAGATGACATCTTGCTCCCTAGATAAGTGAAACTGTTGACTTTTTCAACTCTGTTGTTGTTCAGCGTGATATCAACTGAACTGTTGGTAAAGTCTAGAATTTTTGTTTTTGCGGTGTTCATTTGGAGTCCAATTTGTTCTGAGAATTTCTGGAGTCGATTGATTTGTTCTATCATCAGATTTAATCATCCTATTCTAACGTAGATATAGTAGTTAAACTGACAATTGTGGTCATAGAAGCTTCTAGAAAAACAAGGACAATTGCGTTTGCTTTGATAGGGCACGTCAACAAGGTATTCACTAGTACGACAAGGTTGGGTCACATGATGAAAAGAATGCATTTCCAAACTTCTAGATAGAAGGCCAAGGCCAGGCAACCTCAGTTTCATGTCAATAGCTTGTTTTGGCGGGAAAAGAAGATTCTGGAAAAGGGAATGTCAAGGCTGCCAAAACTTGTTGATTTTCAGTACACCATAACTCTGTGTAATAACCCACTTCCTTCAAACAAGTAATGACT